TTGTTTGTGCTGGTCAACGAAATCTCATTAAAGAGCAGAACAGAACGCAAAGTTCTATTTAGCTTAAATAATATTTGGGCAAGCGTCAACGGAAATGGCCACTAACTGAAGTGTTTTCCTGGCCCGGCTAAGACAAAGAAAAATATTTAAGCACTTAAGTGTGGCTCAAGCCGGGGTCTACTCCAGTTCGGTTGGGTTCGGTTCGGTTCGGTTCGGTTTGGCTTGGTTTGGTTTGGCTTGCATCCACTTCAGATTGGCTAAGGCCTCCCGCCTGGTCCATGGTGTGTGCGTGCGTCCACTCAGAAATTAGTTGTAAGATGAATGGCCCAAAGTCGCAAAGTTTTTGCAGCTTTTACTTGGGATTTAGTGGCGGCGACGGCTGTAACTGGCTGCCAACCCCGACCCCGCCCTGCATACTGCCTTAACCCCCCCACGCCACTGCAAACGCCTGTGCTCGCAGGGCAAAAGCACGTCTTTGACTCTACATCATGCTCTTTAGTCTTTATTTAAAGCAAAAACTTTTTTAATGAATGCTCTTAGTTTGCGCACATATTTTTAATGCATAGTTCATTAAAAACAACTTTCCATTTGGCTAATGCTCGGCTTCTTTTTTATATTTCTTCCCGGATTTATGCACACAAAGTGGCTAAAGTGTTTAGCTTATTCTATTAGTTACGAGCAGGCCTTCAAATGGACTTGCAAATTGGTTTAGCAAATAGTTTACATTGCAGCAACTATCATTTACAATGCTTTAAAGTCAGATTTGCATTCTCTCTGAGAAAGACAGAGAGAGAGAGAGCGCTAGGATAGATAAAAATCCTAGAATAGTTTTAGACGATTAGAGATCAGGGAAAATGAACAGATGCATGGAAATCTGAATAGAAATGGATTGTTTCATTTATGATTCGGCAACTGTACTAAAGATAAGCGTAAACTAAAATTTTAGAGCATTTATCGTTGCATTTAGCATTCAGTGCCGCTTAACTTTAATGCAGTTAACGTTCCATTAGGAGTTGAGAAACAGCAACACATGATTTTTCAGCTACTGACAAATTGCATTGCCGTTGATGGCCCTGCAAAAAAAAAAAAAATAAAATGAAAATCAAAAAGGCAACAACCTATCAAAAAAACTGCAGCAGCATTTTTGCCATTTTCTGCTGGAGAGCTTGTTTTTTATTTATTATTATTTTTTTTTTTTAGCTGTGTTTTTGGCCCTTTATTTGGTTCCTTTGACAGTCAGATCACGTAGTATCAACGAAAAGCTGATACGCCGTGTATAATGGGATTTGTTTATTGGTATCATTTGCGCCAACTTTTTTTTTTTATTTTTTGCTGCTTTGTTTTGTTTCCTTTGGTCCTTTTCGCCCTTGTTGCTTGATGATGCCCCCCAACCCCACTCTCCCTTGGAACGTATCCATTTTCGTATGCGAGCCAAGTGGGCGAACCCCATGACTGCAGTTCAGAGCCAACTCTACGCCCACGTCGAAACAAAGTTTCGTATTGCGTTTTAGAGTGCACAACGGCACATAAGTAGCTAAAGTGGCCCGAAAAACGTACGCGTCGCTAATCCCGGACACAGCCAGGACACAGCCAAAACAGCTGACAGCTGGATACAAAGACGAGGAGAAGCGGGGGCTGTTCGTACTGGGTGTCTTGGTCTCCAGGTGCGGGCACGTGACGCTTGAGCGCAATATTGACACTTTCAACGACTTGACGCGCCAAAAGTCATAAAGGGAGTCAAAAAGTTTCAACGCCTCCGATTGCACTGCCATTGGCCAAGGAGCTGCTGGCGCTGCCTCTGCTCTGGCTCTGCTCTGGCTGCATAAAAGTAAATCCATGGATTTTTCGTATAGCCACTTAAACTTTTTCGCACTGGGTGCGAAACCTTTGCCAGTCTTTAAGTGCTTGGGGCTTCCTGGCGCTCTGGACGTCTGGGGCGGGTTTCCTAGCTGCAGCTACGGGCGGCGTATCTGTGTATGTGTGTGTGTGTGTGTGTGTGTGTGTGCGTGTATCGGGCATTATTTTCATTGTCGCATTTTTCATCATCACGCTGCCTGAAGTTTTTATGGCTCTCTCTCTCACTCCGACTTTAGCTCAGCCTCTGTTTTGGCTTTGCCTGCACCTGTGCGTCGCTTAGAACCGGAAGCTGCACATCAGCCATGTGCGTGGGCGGTTGGGCAGAGGGCGGGGCGCGTTTGTCTGGTTAGGAGTCACGCTGGCTGCTTTCTAGTCTCGCCGTTGTCGTTGTCGTTCCTGGCAATTGCCACTTTCAGTCTGGGGCCGCATTGCAACATTGCTTTCATTGTCTCGTGTACAGGTTTTCCTTTCCACTTTTTTTTCGTTCTGTTTTTGGTGGTGCGGCCAAATCTCTTTTGAATTATTACTGTAATTACCGCTGAGTTTCGCCTGCGTCCTGGCATCATCATCATCGTCATCGTCGTCGTGGTCGTCGTCGTCGTCACCGGCGCCAGCTAGGAGCTGTGTGTGTTGTGACACCGCTGATGACTGTGTTGATCCGACGATTATGATTTTATTACGTTCTCGTGTAGTTGTGCTTTGTTTCCTTAATTTCGTGGCACTCCTCAGTGCCTGTGGCGTGAGTTATGGCACTCGATTCGCTTCCAAATATTTTGGGTATATGCCGTTCTAGTGTTTGCTTTAGCCCCACAATCAAATCTAATCGTTTGTAATAAAGCTGTTCCATAGTATTTTCTTCGGTTCTGTCCACTGGATTTTCGCTGTGATAAACGATGCCGGCAACTGTCGCGTTGAGCTGCACATTTAATTGTAATTGTGCCCCAGGGGGGTGGGTTTGGGGGCGTCGGCATCTGGAATCTGAATACCTATGCCTGGCTGTATGCTAAGCCATTTTTCTTGGGGGGGTCAGCTAATCAAAATTGATGCGTTTGGGCCTTTTTCTTAGTTGTGGCATGTTTTTTGGCAGTCCTTAGCTATTATCAAAAGGCAGACTTCATAGCTATATGAATATGTTTGTATATATTATTAAATATTTTATTTATTTTTTACAATTATTCATATTTAAAGTCTTTAGCAAGTTTGATAATGTTTAATGCCTCAGGTTAGAACATACAGAAAAAGAGGTCTTGCATGCTCGCTTTACTTTATTCAATGCTTAACGCTTGTAATTCTCAAGAAGTTTAAGCTTTCAAAAGTTGACAAGGCCTTTGCAATGCAAAGTCTGCTGGAATTTATTGCTTGTTATTTGTTGTTCGAAACTTTATAATATATTAATATTTATTATTTATAAGAAATTAAATACAATTATAAGCATTTACACTTAGTGGACTGAAATAATTTTTTTTAAATATTGTGTATCCTTTTATGCCTTGCACATATCCTAAATATTTGTTTATATCGTAATTGGCTAACAAATTTCGAATTCAGTTTCGTTAACTTTCACTTCGCCGAATGCATTGAACATTTTTAACATTAATTCAACTGTTAGCTGAACCTGAACTTAAGCCCAGCCATTGGCTTGCTTCTTTAAATGTCATGCTGTTAATCCTGGCAAAAATCCTCCACAAAAGCCACTACATCCCCCCGCCCGCTTGCCACTAACTCCCTCCAACATGCGTAGCACACATTTAACTCGTGCTGGCTACGCTCCACTGTTAAGTAGAATGTAAACCGCGTCGCACATTCCACAATCCAAACAACAACTACGACAAACACTAGCAGACAGGCAGACAGACGGCCGGACGGAGAGACATAGTCAACTGCAGCCATGTGCTGCTCATATGGTCTATGGGATGGGGCGGGGTGGGAGTTAGCTGGCGGGGGCGGTAGGGGCTATGAATTTCGACACATGTTGCCGCAATAAAAATGTCAACACACACATAAAACATCTTCTAAAATGGCATTTGCACAGCGGCGTAAAATTCCAGCAGCCGAAAAATTTGAAGCATAATAAATGGCGCTCTGCCTCGGCGAGCAATTGGCACACACACACACACACAACTATACACACACACACATGCACACACTAACAGCGAGCACGTGCTTAAAGCCGGGGCACAGCCATACGCACATTGTTGGCCATTAAACACGCATTCCTTGGCCATATATAAATTTATAGACCAGAAGCACAAGACGACCGAAGCGAAAGTGTGAGCAAAGAAAGGAAAGTGTTGGAAATGGTTTGCGTGTGTGTGTGTGTTCGTGTGTGTGAACTGAAAATGCGAGCAAAGAAAATGGTGAATGTGTCGCGCAAGTCGCGAGACGCTTTCACTTTTCGGCCAGACGCCAAATGGCCCAAAACGCGCTGCGCTTTCGGTTTTAGTTTGTCTGTGCAATTACCAACCCCCGACCTGCTCCTCCTCACAGCCCAGGAGCTACCCCTGACCCTTCAGCCTGTCGCCAAGTTCATGTGAGCGGAATTTAAAAAAAAAATCATGTGCGCGCCTTTAATGAGATAATCTATGCTCTCAGTGCTCATTTTATATAATTGAAGGTTCACTTACCGTATCAGCACGCCCTCCACCCTCCTGCCTCCCTGCCCCATCACACATTTTGAGCGCCCCCCCAAGACCGCCTGCTGATTACAAGTACCTCGCCTGACTGCGGACCAGCAGCTGCCCAGGGGCGTGGTAATGATAGTGCCCCAGCCCCCGCCAGCTCGTACGTGCGTACAGCACAGAGTCCTCCCCGCCTCCCCGGCTCTCTGCCGGTGGGGCTGCAGTTTGTGGCGCCTTGCGCCACATGCAGCAGCAGCAGCAGGAGCAGCATCTAGGAGAGCCGGCGTCGTGGCATGGTAATCTGCAATAAATGAGGCATGTTGGAAGATTTATTTGATTGCTTTATTTAATATTTTAGAAAAGGCAGATGTTTCGCTAGCGATAAACCCTCAGCAAAAGCGAGCTCCAAAAATTCCCAGACGAAGGGGCAGCCGGGGCGGGACTTGTCGCTCTTGACGTTGAATTATGACAGACGTAATGAAATTTTTAAGGGCACCAAAAAGACAGTTAGGTAAGTGGGTTTTGATTGTGACAGCTGGAGATTGTCAAGGTGTTGACATAAATGGAATGCCTAGGAATACGTTTGGAAAAACAAAAGCCAATTTACATACAATATATGTATATGCAAGCACAAAGGGAGCTTAGGAATACAAAATATTGTTATGGTTATGAATGAATTATTGCTGTCAAGTGTGATGTGTTGCGTTATTTATGGACATTCCCAGCGTTGCAGGTAAATAGTTTTTAATATTTGCCAGAGCAAGTAGAACAACATTACTTAAACTATTTAATATTATCAGGGTTGACGGCGGGCTGGGTTTGGTTCAGGTAAACAATGTAGGTGCCAGTCTAGTACACAATAGAGGCAATCTTCTCATGAATCGAAATACTTATTAATACGGATTTTTCGTGTAGCACAATCAATCCAATTATTGTTTATTTTTTCCCAGCATTGTTTTCTTATTTTTCCTAAACAAAAATCTCATATCATATCTTGTAATTAAAGTGATATCAAATTGCAAAATTTGAACTCTTAAAAACATGCTAGAATTGTTGTTTTCGAATAGAGATCTGTAAAGTCTCAATATAAAGTATTTGGCATCTTATTACCCTTATATATCATACGGCCTGTTGTGCCAATGTTAGAGTTCAGCAACGCCTTTTCCATATGGTTTAACTCTTATGGCAGCACAGACCTGGCCACAACAATTAGGTTTATGTAGCGTATACGCACCGTAGTGCCACACACACACACATCTATCAGCAATTCATGTATGCAACATGAACAACAACAAACGTGCAGCAACTAACAACTGAATTTCATTAAGCCGCATCGCACAAATTGAACTACAACAGGCGGCGGCAAGAAGGGACAAAAAACAAAAACAAAAAAGGGCAGGGCCAGGCAGAAAATTTAAGTGCCCCGGCGACCAGTGGAGTGCCCCACGGCCCAGCCAAACGAACCAATTTCGTAGCGGGCAGCCATGTGCCCCAAAAAAGTGGCAGCAACAGCAGCAGCAGCGGCAGCGGCAGCAAGTCGTGCATGAAGCTCAGGACAAGGGACGCGACAGCACAAAAATCAGGCAACGGAGCATGACAAGCAAACGCAACGTAGCGCATCCTGTGCCGCCATTGCCATCGCCAACGCCATCGCTGCTGCCACCACCAAATGTTGCTGCCACAAGCCAACAGATCACCGCCTGCTGCTGGGCAACTTCAAAATGCTGCTGCTGCTGCTGCTTGGGACTACTATTGGGTCGCTCACTCTCGCTGCTGTTGCTCTATGGCTGGCTGAGTCTCACGCTCGTGTGATAATAAAATGAAAACTTTGAGCCAAAGCCAGGGAGCAGCCGGCCAGGGCTGGCACAGGCGGACCGACCAGGGCTAACAGGCGACCAACGGCGCACCGCATGTCTGGCATATTTAATTTATTTATTTTATGCAAATTTCGGATAATGTATCTGCGGCCGCAGGACACAAAACAACAACAACTGCAACAACAACAACAACAACGGCCAAAACATCAAGGGGTTTCTCCAAGTTGGCGCATCATCATCTACGACCAGCAGCAGCAGCAGCAGCAGCGTCAGCGGCATCAAAAAATTCTAATGAAAGCAATTGTTGCCAAACCGCGCACAAAATTATGCTGCATAGCCACGCCCACACTCCCACAGCCAACTCCCACACTAAACGGAATACCTAGCCAAGCTGGTAACGGCTGGCTGCGGTTGCCAGCGCGATATTTAGCATTACACGGTTCATTGTCTAAAGTGGCGCCCGGGGAGGCCACCCCCCGCGCATCCACAACATACCTCAACATCAACCCCCCTCACCATCAACCTGTCCGCCATATCTATTGTATTTATTCAAAAGTTTGAAGCCGCCTGCTTGCACTAACTACTAATGTGCGGTTGTCTCTCTGTGTGTGTATGTGCATGCTTTTGGTGGGCGTGGCATTGTGCACAAGTTCTATCTAGCGCCATTTGGTTTTTATTGTTAAACTGCTAAAAAGTTTTACCATAATTTTAGCCAGCTTTTAGCTTTGTTATTTTTCTACTCTCCGCCGAGCTGCAATAACGAAAGATATTTGAAAATAAAGCACCAAAAGTCGAAGCTTTAATATCCTTTACAAGCGTATACATTTTCTCTAATTAAATTTACAAAAGTCAAACCATTTTTAAAGGGAACAAAAAATATAATACAAAAATTTACGAAGCATTTGTTAGACTTTTGAGTTTAACAAGAAAAAAAGCTGGGCCTATAAAAATAAAATAATAAAAAACTAATTTCGGTAGTCTTATTTTTTATGTTTTCAAACTAAACAAACAAATATTTGTTTGTCTTCAAATAAATAATTATTAGTTGGATTTATACAAAAAAAATAAATAGTCAACATTCTCATACTATCAGAAAATCAAACTACTTAAAATGGCTTTGAGAATATAAAATATTAATGAGTAACTGATATTTTTCTCTCAGTGCAAACAAAATTAAAAATTTTCATCGTTACTTAACCTGTGAAAAAGTTCATATGCCTCGCAGCTGTATTGAGTTATGTATGAAAAGGATTTCGCTTAGCAAAATATTACGTATACGCGCTTTGGGAATTTTTACTAATTAAAATGGTTTTTCCGCTGACGCTTGCCGGGCCCATGCAAAATTCACATGTAATTCATACACAGATTTGCAAATAAAAAAAATCAAAAACGAAATGAGAAATGAAAAAAATTCAAATTAATATATAAATTTCTGCAGCTCATAAATAAGTCGAGGGTGCAGCCAAAAGCCTTGCCATATGTGAGTGCGCGCGCCATAAATTAGCATTAAAAATGCTTCGGGGCGTGGATTATACGCCTTTTTTTCTTACGTTTTTTGTGCACCTTTTGGGCTCTTTAGCAACTAACACGCACAGCTAATAAATTCAGATTGGGTGCATTTAAAAGGATTGCGAATCGAAAGGCTGCCGGAAAAGTGATTAAGTCAGACCGCTTGGTCGGCCAACCCTTTCTCAAATTGAATAGGATCCTCTTGCCGCTGTCGCTTGTGCAATTGTTTGTAAAACATTTGCAACTTTAACCCTGGACATTTCGTTTTTTTATTTTTTTATTTGTTTTTGGGCTAACGAAACGACGCTTGCAGTCCATTTACCTGCACAATTGACTGATTTTCTAAGAGCCAACATTGGCATCCCTTTCGAATGCCCTTTAAATGGGTTATTCTAAACTTGTCATGATATGTGTGAAACATTTTTCTGTTAGGGCGTCTAAGCTTCGGCGGGCAGCAAGACGTTTTTTTTTTGCTTGTTTCATTTTATTTGTTTGGCTCTTAGGAAGAATCAAAGGATTTTAAGGTATTGCCATCAAAATTAATGCAGCTGCTTTCTCAATTTCAATTATTTTGTTTGTTCTAAAATTAATGAATTTTTATTGAGTCTTAAGCAAATCACAATAAAATAAAATGGGTCTGGTGCGACCAATAGGATTGCTTTAAGAGCATTAAGCTATTCTTGGAAATAAAATTGCAATTGCACTTTATGCAAATCCTCTTTGTGTTCATATATCTTAAACTAAATCTCAGTTATGCACAAAGAAATTTCCACGCAAAGAGAATGTGATAAAAAAGTGTTAAAAATTCGGAGAATATAATTTTTTATTTTGCAACATCGTAAATATTCGCTAGCCGTGTGACAACGCAAGAATTACATTTCTCGTGGTCAGTTTCCATTGTTGTTGTTTGTTTTTGCTTTTGTTTTTTTATTGTTTACCTTTTTTTTTTTTGGGATGTTATCTCGCTTAATATAAAGAGCGCATTTCCGGCTATCCCTGGCTGTCGGGGCGGGCATATTTATGCGCGTGTTGGTCCGAGGCAAGCAATTTGCTGCTTTACAATAAGTGCCAGGACATAAAAATAATAATTATGCTTGTACCTTTTATGATTATGGTGTGAAAACAACAATTGCTCGTGCGCTGCCTGCTGCTGCGTGGTATGTTTTCCGAAAGGACAACTGGAGCAACAACGACAACGACAACACAGACACACACACACACACACACACACACACACACACACACACACACACTTTAGTGTAGATTTATGGGCCATGTAGGTGGAGCAAATTATTAAAACAAGAGTGCAGAAAAAAAAGTTCTCGAGTTGTTAGTATGCGCCTGCAAAATACCCTGCACTCAGCTATAAAATAAATATATCTGATTAAAGTGCATCTCAATCTTATATTGAGCAATAGATTTCGATGTCTCTTGAGATATGATTAATGGAATTTACTGAGCTCTAGAAATGTTTCGTGTTCATCAAAAACTTAAATAGTTTAAGGTACGTTTTGTGATCTTACTATCGCATATGTCTCTTCCGCGCTATAACGATTGCGGACACCCAGGCAAGAGGCATAAATTTCTAATGGAATATATAAAGACTATTAATGCGTGACACTAGGCAATACTTACTGGAAGAATCAAGACCTTCTCCATGGACTTGCACACACACACACACACACGACCGCATTGTTGAATACAGGGTATGTGAATTGTCAGGCGGCAACCGCAACGAGAACAACTCAATGTTATTGTTGGCCAGAGGCAGGCGGCTATGAGGTTAGCTCATGTATGGGTGGATGGGCTGCTCTGCGGCACCTTGGCCTTAACATTAAGCTTAGCGTGGCTTTCAGCACAATAAACAAAAAGTAATTTTCACAAATTTGCCAACTTGTAAGCCACGCCGAAAGTGGGCGATGCCGCCGAAACCATTGGAATTTATGTGGCGTGCAGTTGCCGCGTTGCTCTGCGATTCCGATCCCCTCCCAAATCTGCCACCCCATCCCCCCCCACCCAACAACCCCTCGTTTCTATTGCTGAGAGTGGACGCAGGTGTTTTGTGGTGCTTGTCGTTAGCTACAAGCCAGACGATGGTTCTTAATACCGGATACACAAAGTTTTGTTAAAAGGAAATTGTCGCGACGCCATTTATTATGGCCGTCTGAAGGGTCGTTGTCGCCCCACAGATATCGCTAATGGGCGTGTGTGTGTGTGTGTGTGTGTGCTTGAGGGTCCTTAAATCGAAACGTTTACACATATCCATGCACATATGTATATCCGCCTTTGGTCCTTATCATGCGCGCCTAATTCAATCAGCCGTGGCAAATTAAAGTTCCATTTTCTCGGCCAACTCAAGCAGGCAAGCGTTTAAATGCCCAAAGAAAAATTACATGGATTGCTACCCTTTGTCAGGATCAAAGTTCGATTTCGAGCTTAAGGCACAATGACACTAGCTCAAATTTCAGCAAAAGTGATATGATATTTGAAACTTTTTTAAACAATGTACGCAGTCATTTCTGTTCTTATTCGATTAATAACATATTTAGATAAAAGCTTCTTTCAAAGCTTTAGTCACAGATACTACTAATCTGAAACTTTCTTCTTCTAATGTTGAAGCTTTTGTGCGAGTCTCCCAAAAGCTTTTCTATGCAGCCGCACTGCAGAGCTTCGTAATCCATTCCTTAAAGCAAAGATAAGTCAAAAGTTTCTTTTAGGCCAGTGTCATTGGGGTTCATAGCATATGCGCATAAATCACGCGCCCTCCAAAAGGGGCTGGCCCAGCAGCAGGACAATCTGAATTGCTAAATGCTACAAGGACAGTTCAAGCATGTAAATTAAAGCGCATCAAAAAAAAGAGAAACGTCGAAAAAAAAAGGAATGCGGCAGAGGGCAGCAGACAAAAGGACAATGCAAGCGAAATCAAACTCCGGTTGGCAGCTCCTTTTTGCAGCTGCGCAGCCTTAAAGACCAGCAGGGATATTGACGACGGCGACTTCGGCGTCGGCGTCGTCGTCGCGCAAATGAAATTAAAGGCGAGCAAACAAGTTACGGTCAGACAATCAGCAATGGGCCAAAAGGACACTGGCTAAGGACAACGGCTGAGGGCGAGCCCTGGACAAGGGACAAGGGACAAGGGATAAGAGACACAAAGTGCGTGGCGCTCTGCTTAAAGCAATTTCATTTGGCAACGCCTTGCCGCCAGCCCGCGCATCCTCATCCCTTTTACATCTGCCTGTGGGAGCCTGGAGATTGATTTGTGCTGCCTGCTGCCATTTCCTCTGCTCCTGCTCCCGCGCTGGCCTGCTTGCCCTTTGATTAAATTAAATTTCATGGGACATATGTACACATTGAACCGGATTGTATGGCTAACGGTATTTTTGGGTTCTTTTTTGTGTGTTTGGGTGCTTTTTTTGTTTGCCCAGATTTGAAAGAAAAGTGTTGAAAAATGGCGCGTAATTTGCAGCAAATCCTTCGTGTAATTTGTTTGTCAACAAATGAGTGTGTAAATGCTGCACATTTAACATGCCACTGCTGCTTCTTCTTGTTCGTACAAATACATTTTTTTCTGACCCATCTGGGATACTGTGACATTGTCTAATGAGTTAATTAGGCTGTTTTATACGGGTCGATGTGAAAGAATAACGTTTCGGGTTCATCAGCAGGCGCATCAAATTGATGGGTCAGTGTCCTTAATGATTAGGCTCTATATAGAGATAAATGGGGCTAAATACTGGGAGGGTTTTCTCGCAAATGATGGCATCAAATAAACTCTAAATGATTTGCATAGCTGCAAATTTGCGGCGTGTAAGCTTAAGGAATTCGACATGAATTGAAGAGAATTTTTTTTGTATAAAGAAGGGCTTAAAATGTCATTTAAAAGTTATCGATAGTTTGCGATTAATCAAATCTAGCAAGAGTTCGCTGAAGAACTAATAAAAATATGAAATATATGTTTCTTAATGAAAGGGCCGCTAAGCAATTAAGATCAAGTTAAAATATTAATTCTTGTGAGGGAAAGGTAAATTTAAGTAATTAAATGTGCTATATTTCTTATAATATACATACAAAGCTAAGTTAGTATATATACTAGTTAGCTAGTTATACATGTTAACAAAACCCAAATTATTCTGTTCATATCTGACCTCCCTCTTGGTTATTTAATTATTTATATATATATATATGTATATGACATAAATGTAAAGCATCGATTCCACCAGACATATTTCGAATATAAATTGGCGATATTTATATTCCTATATTCAATGAAAATATGCTTAACAAATTCCAACAA